CCATCTTCCGAACCGTGGCCACTGGTCTAACACATTCACAGTGGGTTGGCCACACAACTAGACTCCACTTTGAGGTTAGTAGATGTTGACAGTCAAGAAATACATCTGGCACAAATTCACATTCAAGTTACATCTAAGAACCAAGAATCACATGTTGGCTACTCAGGCAATCAAATCCTCGAGTTCTTCGACTGACCTCAGAGGAGTCCTCAGGATAGCCTTAGCTCCTTATGCACATGCATTTCTACATATCTTCCTACCTTCTTTTCTCTTCCTTCCTTCTTTTTTTTATTCTTCTATAAGTTCTCCAGTCACTTTTCCCTTTCTCTTAGACTCCATATCTGATCCATCAGCATGGCCAGAATCATTTAGCACCAGCTCTGTCCAAACTACCCACATCTCTCACCTAGATTAGTTAGGAGAATATTGAAATATTCTCCCAATTGGCAGCCAGAGGGAACTTTTGAAAATGGATGTCAGATCATGTCCCTCCACTGCTCAGAACCCTATAAGGACTTCCCTCATTCAGAGCAAAAGCCAAGTTCCTTACTCCCAGGTTCTGTGAAGGCCCTGCCGGGGCCGCCCCCATCCCTGCTAATCCCTGAGCTTATCTCCTACCATTTCCCTTCCCCCTCACACCCTCTACCTCCATGAATATCTTTGAGGTTCCCCAAACATCCCTCCCACCCGAAAGCCTTTTCACATGCTGTTCATTCATCCACCCAGACTACTTCCCCGACAGATGTCGGCATAGCTCAACTGTCTTTCTATCCGTTAAACCTTTCCTATATTAAATTATATCACCTTCATTCTTCATTCTCATCTGCCTTGCCCGGACTATGATTTCTGCAGCATTTACCCTCCTCTAACATAATTTTATAGTCATTATGCTTTATCGTCTGTCTCCCCCAAGTAGAATGTAAGCTCCACAAGAGCAAGGCCCCTTTCTCTTTTGTTCACCCTTGTGATCCAAGAACTAGAACAGTGGATACACAGTAAACATTTGTGGAATGGACGACCTGTCATTTCCTTTCTGTTCTCTTCTCTGCTCTCACAGCGCTCCAACCCGCCCCTCTGGTCCTGTGGTCATAGCAGTCATATTCGAAAATCAAGTGCCAGGACATGTCATCTGACACATAGCTTAACAGTAAGACAGGATATTTGAAATTGGGCCGGAAACACCAATTTGGGGTGGAGGCGGGAAATGATTGCTGTTCTAATGGCAACCCCATCTGTTACATTTACATTTAGACCACTCAGTACACTCATAGTTCCCAAGAGAGTCTTTCTAATGCCCATCCCACATTCAAGTGCAATTTCAAAGCCATTACTATTGGTTAAAAACTTGTTATGATCCCATATTTATGGTTTGAAGATAGACGGCTCTAATCTTCATCCTATCTTCATCCCTGTATGTCTCTGGAGTTTCACAATGTCTTTTATCGTACACTTGCTACAGTGGTTGTTTATTGGATGGTTACTAGATCACATTTTAATTTTTCATTACATATTTTCTTATCCAATAAAAATAGTTGTTTATCAAGACCACCTGCCTTGTGGTTTTGGACCTAAGTATCTTCGTTATGAGATCATAAAATTCTGGAACATGATGGGCCCCCTTTTTAAAGTAATTAAAGACAAGACACCGAGTGAGACCGGTTCCCATGGCAGTAATGCTGACTTTATCAAAACAAGCATAAAAACTAGGCCACAAAAGAGAAAGAAAATACAAATTTTTAAAATATAGAGTTAGAGTCTGAGTTCAGACTTTCACATTTCAGAAGCTCCTGCCCTTTGGCACTTATAGATGGTTGTATGAATTACAACATTTGAAAAATAGCCTTTTAGCCAAGAGACCTAGCAAAACAGCATCATCATCACCACCATCATCGTTAGTAGTATTGAAAATGGTTATATTTAAACTTGGAAATTAAGTCACGAAGCTTTTTTCATAACCACTAAGTTTCATCTTCTCTGTTGTCAGATGCTGTGTCTTTGCTCACATCAAATTTCCTTGTACCAATTGGAGGCTGAATCACAGCGAGTGTCAGCAGTGAACCATCTCTCTCTCTCTTTTTTAAACTTTTTAATTTAATTTAATTTTTTGAAATTTTGAATTCTTTAATGTCACCTCGTATTTGACCCCTTTTACCCCATCTACCTCCCTCCTCCCCCTCTCCTCTCCAGCCTCTGGTAACCACTAGTCTATTGCCCGTGACCATATGTCTCTGTTTGTTTGTCCTGTTCGTTTGTTGCTTTTAGGTTTATATCTCACATGTAAGTGATATCATGTGGTTTTCAACTTTTTCTGTCCGGCTTATTTCGCTTAGCGTATATCTCTTGAAACCAGCATTACTACAACAGAGACCCAGTGGGTTATAAAAGGTCTCCCATCAGTCACTTGCACTTTCTCAGAAAGAGATTTGCCTACATGTTCCTTTACCTGAATTTAAAAGGAGGATCTTACATTTACAATGTATTCTAATTCCTTAATATTCTTATCGCCGGAAAAATTGTTGTGACCGTCTAAACATAATTGTATTGCGTTTACACAGGATAAGTCCTTGACCACCTTAAGTTTTGTATCATCTATGGCTCTCTCTTCCTCTCGCTTTTCTACCTTTAATTTAATTTCTCAAGCATTTATTTAGTACCTATGGTGTAATAGTGCTATGGAAGGTACAAAGGTGATTTAACCTAGTGCTGGCCTAAGGTGCAGGAAAATGATATGTCAACTCTGGACAGACAAAAGTCCAAGCATATCTGGGTCATATTCCGGGACGGTGATTTGTCTAGTGTGGCAGAGTATGAAAAGGAGTGAAGAAGCAAGATGGTAAAGCCCTAAAGAATTTAAACTTGAAGCTGTAGACAACAGGAAACCACCAAGAGTTTGAGGCCACGTGTGGTTTGAGAAAGCAACAAGTTACGTTATAACGTTTTCCAGTTTATAAAGTGCTTTCACACGTTCCCATTCATGTGTCCCTTAGTTTTCAACAAATTAATTATGAATGGGTTCTAAGAAAGCTACAGCTAGAGGAATTTTTTCTCCACCCAGAGTAGCAGGACAGAATGTAGGTGCTGGCATCGAACGGCCTCGAGTTGTAGTCTGGCACCACTGCTTTCTGGCTGTCTGAACTTGGGCAAGGTCTGACTTCCCTATGCTGTAGTTATTCCCTAATATGCAAATAGGGATGTCCATAGCACTGACTTCATAGGGTTACTGTAGGGATTAAATGAAAAATATATGAATATATATCTTGAGAATGATGCTCAATGTATAATAAGTTCTCAAGATATTTACCTATTATTTTATATATATACATACTTTGCATACACTCATATACATGCACATATAATTTCTCCACTCAAATTAAAATCTATAAAAAAAGAGTAGACTGTCATGCTCCAGTGTCAACTACAGCAACTGGAATATAGTAGCCACTGAATAAATATTAGTTGAATGAATGAACTGTGAATGAGACAAAGTTATGTACATTCATCAGATATTTTTATTCCCCCCTCCCCCGGGCAATCACAGGGGAATGCTTTTCCTAGACCCACTATATTTAGGTAGAACCACGTGACATGTCATGGCCAAGGGAAAGTGCTCTGGACCCTAAAACCTCTGTAGGACCCTCCAGACTCTCTTGTCACTCCCCTACCAAGCCTCTTACAGAGGATGCTACAGCCCTGGACCATGAAGAATCACCATTTGAAAGCTGCCTGGATCCCCAAGTCACTGCGGGTAAAACAAGAGCCCAGGAGAGTTAATTGACTAAAAACAACCATGTTGGAGTTGTAGAAATAAAAAGTAAACTTCCATTTTGTTAACCCACTGAGGTTTTTTTTTTTATAAAAGCAGTTAATCTCGTTTCACTAATGCAAAAGGAAGAAAGGAAGGGAGGGAACGAAGGAAGAAGGAAGGGAGGGAGCGAAGGAGGGAGGGAGGGAGGGAGGGGAGAAGGAGAAAAGGAAGGAAGGGAGGAGGTAGGCAGACATGTTTGCTTTCATGCTTTTGTCTACTAAGAATCAACAATAATAGCAAAATAAGAGTCAGAACTGGAAGAAACCTTCCAAGAGCAGCTACTGCAACCTTCTCATTCTACAGTAAGGAATCAGAAGCTCGATATGGTTAAATGACTCATTCAGGGTCACACAGCTGAAACTGGACACCAGGTATACTGATTTCCAGGCCAACATTTTGTTTTTTCTAGTGGCCCTATTGGTGTCCTAGGAATTGAACATATTACTGTCCTCTAAACAGAGTCCATAAGAGCAGCAAAATAAGGAAACTCTGTTTTAAAATAAAACAGAAAAGGGAGCGAAGATGACATTCAACTAGACCTCAAAGGTGAATTAAAACTGATTGCCCATTGATTTTTTTTTAATTCAAAAGAAAGTCTTTCTACCTTGCCCCAGTTACTCAGCCTAATTTGTGTGTCTGGGTGGCAGCCTGCTTCTCAAGTTCCAGGCACTCTGGAGCAGGAGGTCCAGTTACTACAGCGGTACTTTCCCAATCAAAACACTGTGCATTAGACATTAGCGGGATGATAAGACTCACACAGTCATGCCCGGGCCACTTGTTGACGAAATCGCAGCAGCATTCACTAAGAAGAGGTTAAAATATTTAGATTCACATTAGAGAGTTTCCAAAACCAAGCCCCCAAAGTCAATTTGTTTCATTTATTTTTCTAAACAATGTTAAAGCTATTCTGAACAGTGGAATACTCATCCAATTCATCAGGGACAATGAAAATAGAAATCGTAAACAAACAAAGCATTAAGTATGTTTTTTAGAGGCACAAATCATGAGTCGATAGAATGGACTTGACGT